GCCCCTTTCAACCCCCTACTTCAACACCTCTGTGTTCTCCAAGCAGCTCCCTTTGGTCGATGGAAAGACAGACTGCAACTCTCATACATAGCCTCTACCATCACGTTGTAGGGTTTACATCGATTCTATTCTCCTTAGCTTCCTTGGTAGCAACGTTCACTTACTCGACCTTGTCCTCTGACTTGCTTGGCACCCTTAAGCGAATATGGGCTCTGGAGCAGTCCAACTCTCCAACTACTTCGATCATACCTCTGCATGATCAAGTCCCTCCTATGAGACTCACTGGTACTTGCATTCGAACTTTTCCCTCAATGGTACACAGCCCCCATATGGTAATGACTAAGGCTTTCATCTAATGTAAAATTCGATGCATGCACCGAAGACCCGCCTCTGCGGTACCATAGTCTTCACTCCTTGAATCCATAGCCCTTCTTGCTGTCATGTTGTTCACTGAAGTGAAGCTCCTAGTAGCCCCCCGATCATACCTCCGTATGATATAGTCCCTCACGGGGCAATGTCATGTGTATCGTATTACCACGAACTGTTTCACCACGATCCACTACACCATGTCGCCTCCTGGTGACATCTCTATTGCATTATGATCCTTGTGGGATGAACTCAAATTGTGATCCCTCAATGTGCAGCCTTTGCCAATACATCGCAGGGTCTCTTCCACCTTTGATTTTATTCGTTCCTTTGGTAATTGACATTCATCCACCCACTCTTAGGTCACACCTAGATGAAGCACCGCTCTAGGATAGTCCGTCGCCTATTAGCTCCCGAAGTCCACCGACTTTGCTACAATTAGTGCACCATTGTCTGGATCCTGGGCCTCTGCCCCTACTAGCACAATCTCTGCTGCGCATCGCTTCCTTCATGGTAACTTGAATGGCAACACTGTAGCATATTCTTCAAGAGTACCCACTTGCGCGTCCTCTTGCCCCGTGCCAAGGCCTTCTGAACCCAACTTCGCCTCCGCAAGTTGAGTCGCCTTAGTTCCTCCATCAAATGCTTTTCCGAGATAAGGTGCATGTGCCCAGAAACTCCCTTCATCTTTGGCACCATGCAAGATGAGTCCGCTCCATCAGAATGAAGGACCTATAAAACAACATGATCCTGCTCTTTCCTCTATAAGAGTTTATGTCCTTGACCTTTGTCCAAGGAAAGCTTTGTGCCTCCGCTCCATGTTTCATCTTCTATACCGGCTCACTTCATGCGGCTTGGGTACTTCACCAAGTTACACCCAAGTTGCTCCACTCCTCATTTTGCATTGAGTTGATGGTGGCCCTCGCGCCCACCATTCCATGGGTTAGCCCTCCCTTGAGTCTGATCTTCATATTGACTCCAAGTGTGCCTTCATTTGTGTTGCTTTGGGTCACTCCCCCACTTGATCTCACAATGCATCCACCAATGCATTCTCTCAAGCGAGATCATGCGACGACTCCTCGCCACTCACTCGGTCCATTGAGCTTCGTGGAGTTATTATTTTTGAGGTACTCCTCCTCAACATGTCCGGTCTGTTGCACATGATTCTCCCTCTATAGAACCGAGATCTATCCCTCCTGGATAACTATCTCGTTGGAGCAACATCTCTCTATGCTTCTTTCTCTCTGAAAGTTTCGGAGACCACCATCCCCTTGGACTACTCCGATTTGTTGAACAAACTATGCATTGTTCTACCTCCTGCAAATGCACTTGCTAGATTGTGACTCCACGTCAATACAACCCCCGCTACACCACTCAAGGCCTAGTAACATGCTAAACTCATTGCATACTTCAGCCTCCTACGAACGTATCCTTCACATGCCGAAGAGAAAGTTTCAATGCTCCATGGCATCGAGTTTCGGTTGCCTTGGGATGGCCAAGAATATTCCATCGCCTGCATACAAGCCCTTACATGAGTACCGAATTCTTCGAGTTAGTAATTCCCCTCACCTCTGTAGGCTTTGCACAATTTTTTTGGTCGCTGAGCAACTCATTTCACCTTGCATGGTCTCATCCTTAACTAAGCACCTCACTTGCCTTGAGCATCATCAAGTGTTATTGTCAACGTCGAGCCGTAGCTCAAACTCAACTATCCCAACTTTTGTGCGCTACGCATTCTTCTAAGCTTGCTTGTTCTCGTGGTACCTCTTGCGTGAAGGGTTGGCCATTCCTCTGAATGCCAATCTCAGATGCTCGCTCCTCAGAGAAACTCCTTTTTCCTACATCTCCATGCTCGTTTTCCCCCAAACAGTCATACGTGTGCTGACTGCCCTCAACGTAGCCTCGCTAGGTCCCTCACATTTGCATGCTAAGTGTTTCTATGAGTGCTTGTCCCATTCTGATACCATCTGTCACGAACTTAGCTGAATTTGCCTAAGTCGTGCGGCACCCTTGCGTATCCGTCTGCCAAGGTCAGTCTCCCCGAAACCTCCCATGATCCTTTAGGACCTACAAAAGAGAAAACGGGTTAGAGAAAGCGCCTCACTCGGGATCCACAAACAAACATTTCCGAAAACACTTCATAGACAATGCAAATTACAAACATACTTTATAAGCTCTGAACAGTTTCATAATAAAGAGTCAAAATGGTCCACTACAAATTGAATATCTCTCACAAGTGTCCACATGACACAATATTTATTTACAAGCATAAGAAGGCCACCAAACCCAACTAAAATGGGGTTATTAAGCCTTCGACTGTTCCTCTACATATTATACAAAGCATGAACAAACAGAAAGATATGGACATACAAAAGTATTACATTAAACATCCTGTTTAGAACTTTATCCGTGATAAGGTGTTAATATTAACATTAACCATATTAGATTCATAACACACAAATGAGGTTGGTTTACCTTTCTTTTCAAGCAATTGTTGGAAATTCATGCATTCCTTCTTCATTTGTCCCTTTCTTTTACAAAAGAAACACCTTGCTTCTTTCTTGATATTAGCATGGGGTGGTATTTTATCTTTTCTCTACTGATGAGCTTTTTGATTGGCTTGATTTTTGTCAGTTTTATTCTTCCCGTGAGTGGTTACTACCAATGCACTCTCATCCAGTTCCATCACTAGCCTCTCTTCTTCTTGAACACACATGGTCAATAATTCATTGATTGACCATTTATCCTTCTATGTATTGTATGAAATCTTAAAAAGCCCGTATTGATGTGGAAGGGTATTCAGAATATAGTGCACTAGGAAAGATTCAGATATATTAACCTCAAGTTTCTTAAGTTGAGCCGCAATATCTCGCATTTATGTTGGTGAGTCTAAGGGATGAAATTTTCATTATTAAGGTACTTGCTAGTGCATTTTCCGAAGTGACGAATTGCTCATCAATAGCTTGTAACAAGTCTCGAACTTTTTCATGCTGGTCAACAGAACCACATATACCGCCAGTTATCTTAGTCTTGATAAACATCACACTGAGCCGATTGGATCGCTCCCATCGCTCATATAACGCGACCTCAGTTGGAGTGCTGATATTAGTGACTATAGGTGATTCGTCTTTCCTAATAGTATAATCAATATCCATCTACCCTAAATGGAGGAGAACCCTCTCCTTCCATATCTTATAGTTATCACCCCTAAGTTCGGGAATGTCACATCGAATATTAGAAAAATTAACAGTTTAAGAAATGACATAAAATCAAACATATTTATGTCAAAATTTGAGGTTTAATAGTTTAAATTACATATTTTACCAATATGAAATATGTCAAAAATATGAATCTCATGACATAAAAATTGCTTGTGGGCTAAATTTTTAATTAAAATATATTCAAATAATCTTTATGATAAAACTATCAAATTATATTTCAATTCATAATACCTGTGGGTAAATTATGAAAATAATTTGATATTTTATCCTGATTAATTATATTGAATATAATAAAAGATCATGTGGGATAACAATTATTATATAAAATATAATCAGTCACAATATGATATCCTTATTTTAACTTTATATATAATTTTAATTAATTAAGGATGCTGTAGCTAATTCTTAATTAATTAAGATTATATGGATCATTAGACATTTTAAACATATAAAATTGACTCACAAGCATAATTAATATAACCAAATATGCATAGCATTTTATTGACCGAAAAATATTGAAAATATTATACTCTCATGATTTTCAACATGAAATAAATCAAGAAGTTTAAAAAAAAAAACTTTATGGCATGACCCGGGTTTGATGGGCTAACTAGCTGATCGACTTCGTTTGATCCAAACCACTAACCAAAATGCTTAAGCTAAAATTGATAATAATATACTCATTAGACCTTTATAAGTCAATTTTAATCTTGTCTACTTCCGATATGGGACTAATCGGGGGTATTACAATCTCTTCCACTCAAAGGCTTGACGTTCTCGTCAAGGCCCAACATAATCCAGATCAGGCCCTAGCATAGTGCATGTTAGGCGTAGCCCAATGGTGGCTCCACGTTGTGACGAGTCATCTGACTCCGTCTACAGGTAGCCCTTTCCTACTCGAGCCCCCTCACCATGCCCAAATGCTAGGTCGACTTTGATACCAAATGTTAGAAATCTTTTGATACCAAAATGTGTTTCTAAATCATTATAATAGAAACACAATAAAAACTGATGCTGAAACAAAATAGTGTACCTCCAACCATTGTTGTCAAGAATTTTAGCAATGGTTTCTTCTTAAACTTTGGCACTTCTCTCAGAACTCTCGCTTTAGATGGTTTAAGAAATCCTTTTGACTTCAAAGAAATGTTGAGCCCATAGACTAAAATTCTTGTTTATATAGATGTTCTCCCATCAAGAATATTTATTATCACCAACTCATAACATTCAAGAATTAATTCAAATTTATAACGTTTAAATCATAATGAAGAATCTTAATAATATTAAATATTTAATAATAATAGTTACATTTAGAATAAAAAACCGAAATATTTAAATCATAATAAATAAAAAAAATTGATTATAATGAATGATAAACTTAATGAGAACGGTTAGAGCTGAGCACGTCTTACTTACTTGGGAACTCGGAAAGATTAGCAGTAACATCGCACTTGGGAGAAAGAAGAAGAGCGCGAGTGAAGTTGAACCTGATGAGGTTGGGTTCATTCTTGTCCTTGATGAGAACACAGAGACACCTGAAGCTCTTCGCCACCACCTGCTTGAGGCCGGAGCAGCAGTCCGGCGAGGGATCCTCGGCGTGGCCCTGGACGTAGGCCAGGCACGTCGCCAGGCCGATCACCTGGTTCCCGCACTACGTTGGGTCGCTCGCGAAGTCTGCCCTCCCCGAGTCGAGCAAGCTTAGCAGGAGCAGAAGCGTTAGCTCTCCGGGGACACCCATGGCTAGCCGCCACCGCATTGGTTCCGCTGGCTGGCCCTTCCCTCGTGGTTATACCTGATGATCTCAACGTGTATCGGCACGCGCAGCTGCCAGTAGAGTAACTCAACCAGGTACGTCTCGTTACTGAGTCTAGTTGACTCGGGCACGACTTGGCCTCGCCGACTTAGAGTGGCCAACAAACATCACGCCATGGGCATCGGTGGTGACTCAAATCGTGAGAAGAAAGGTGTTGTGTCGCTATTGAGTCGGCCTTGTGGGGTCCAATTGATAAGACTATTGTTTTTGGTTGATTTGGAAGTGGGAATGGGCCCTACTACAGGTTGAATTTTGTGTTCCGATTCCATAAATTCCCTATAATTTTCTATTGTATATGATAGATAGATTATGCTTTTTAATTTGATCGTGTCAAGTGTATTCCTGACATGCCTTCGTTCCACGATACCTCCGCGTGGTCAAATCCAACCTGGAAGCAATGTAATGCAATGCTGCACAGCCACACAAAGCAAGCATCGTCACATGCGTTCATATGGCAAGGCGCATAAATTCTCAATTTTAACGCAAAAAACCAAAATTTTGCGTATAATTTATTTAAAGAAATAAATTATTTTCCAAAATTTCTTAATTTGAAAGTAGCATAATTTATTTATTTAAAGAAATTTAACTCTTTTCATCTCTCCGCAATGTGTGTTTGTTATTTATTTTCCTTTTATATGTGAAGTTATGCCCTCTCAACAACAAAACTCAAGGTTCCAATCTCTTTCTTCTGTAAACAGGAAGAGGACCTCATTCATTTGTGACAGCAATGTTGTCTGAAACTGTGTTCTGCTGTCACGAGAATTCTATTTACACCTCAACAATAACCGAGGCATAGGATTGATTGAGAACAACAAGACACTGCACAGAATGAACAAAAGGTTTACAAGTCACAGACCATGCAGCTCTTGCGGCAATTTCCAGCGATCTCATGGCTTCCAACCTTGTACAATGGGTTCTTTTCGCAGTCCCCTGCGGCAGCCCATTGCGCGCAAAGAGAGAGAGAGAGAGAGAGAGAGAGAGAGAGAGAGAGAGAGAGAGAGTTAAAGAATACAACGAACTTTAAAGCTGAGCTTGAGCTTTAAAGTTTGTCTGAAAGCAAAACATAGCGACTGGTACCTACCTGCAAGGCCATGTCTAGCGCACTGGGACCAGGTTATCATCCTTATGCTGAGAGGAAGCACCCTGCAACAGTGTTGAACATAATTATCATTGCTTTGAAACGAACGAAATAAAGAAATTGTGAAGATACAATTATTTACCTCGGCGTTTGGAAAGACGGTTTCCCCACCCTTGTTCACGTTAGAAAGATACATGAGCACAGTGGCGTATCGATGGCCGCCAAGCGCTTGGTTCTTTGGATCATGAAAATAGTCAAAATGCGGTTCATACTTCTGACCATCCCGGTAGCGTAGTATTTGAATGGATTCACCATTTTCTGCTTGTCGCCGGAGTTATTAAGAAGATGCAAGGAGGATGAGAAATCACCGCAATGTCAAAATGTCGTACGGAATTACCCTCTGGAAGGAAGGTCTCGATTCTTGCAATTACCTCATCCTTGTACCAAAGACAAAAGACATGTTATCTTCCATCTTTTTCCAAAATAACCAGCATCTAGCAACGTCGTCTATGAAACATTCAGAATCAGTGTTCCAAGTCTAGTCTCCTATGATGAGAAAAGATGCTTCAAAGATGGAAACATAAGCCCTCATCTCTCTCTCTCTCTCTCTCTCTCTCTCTCTCTCTCTCATTATTAGTTTTATGATAACTACCGACTCTAAATCATATGGAATATACTCTAACCATGAGACTTTGGAGTTTGTTTTCTTAGTCGAAAGAGAAGCACTTGTTTGTGTGCTTTGTTACCTTGCAAGCATCAGTCATCTCGCAACTTGAATCAAGAACCAATTAGGCAGATATGAGCGACTGCATACAAATACTTTGTCATAATTTACTCACCCTGTTGGGCGCTGTAACCACATTCATTCGCTCTTTCCATTATTTGAGTTCATGACTGAGGCTTAAACTATGTGGTGGTCTCCTCTATGCACGGGCATGTTATGGTCCTCATTCTCTCTTTCCATTATTTGAGTACATGACTGAGGATTAAACTATGTGGTGATCTCCGCTATGCAAGGGCATGTTATGATCCTCATCATTGCCTTGCAATCTTTTAGTCAAAACAGTACAATGTGTGATAGATACTTTTCAGTTATTTTCTGAATTTTATCTTGTAAAGAGATATATTCAGCACGAAGCAGCTTGATTCTTGACAACACATTCATAAATTTAGATTAGATTGGCAGTTTATCCAAAGGGTTTATTGCGACTCACTGTTTCTATGACCTGCATCCCTCATCTGGTTTATCTTTAACCTTGGACAAATAACTTTGCCAAACTGACATCAACAAAATGAGTTAGTGGGATTCGTCAGAAATGTAATAATATTAAGAGGATTAAATTTAATTAAAAGAATCGAAACTTTTATCATGATTGTATCCGTGAAAATAATTACAATCTCTAGAATTCAATGAGAATAAAGAGATTGCACAATGATAAATATCATGAAGAGAGAGATTATGAAAATAATGAATCATTAGTAAATTTGATAGGTTACATACAATAAAAATATATGAATATAGTCTTAATAATTGAATCTTATAAGTCTTATCCATAACCATGTAAATAGATGAGATTTATCATAATAAAGTATTAAAAAAAGTGAGAGAAAAATATAGAGATTTGTCTTTTAAAAAATAAAATTTTGTTTTGTCTCTCGCATCATTCCTCCACTCTTCCTCTCTCTCTTTCTCTCTATCTTTTCTCATCTTTTGTCATCAAAAGTGATGTGATGTCAGAGTTAACTCAAAATAGCTGATAGCATACAAACTTCAAGTGCCTCACCTTAGAAAAGATAACAATAAAGATTGAAGCATTTAGATGAAGGTTTTGTTTGGATTATAAAATATATAGGAAGTGAGAGAGAGAGACTTCGAGAAGCCTCAAGATAACAACTTGAACAAAAGTATTGATGAGTTAGTACGGTTGGGTCCACGGGTCGATGTCGGGAGCTCCTTACAGAGTGAGTTGGAAGATGAGGTGGTCGCACCATCGGAAAGGAGTGCTTGTTGGCGTTGGTCAGGATCCGGGCCGACTCACCACTCTCCTTTTCGCAATGAAAAGTGTCTCCTAGGTTGAGACACTCGCCGCTTGCTGGTGGACGTTCTGGAGTGGTTCGAGCAAGAGCTTGGCTGGTGAGGTCGATCGGGCCCTCACGATGGGGTGTTGATCAGCGTTCCTCAATCTGCCGCTCTGGGCACCGTCTATGATGGGCCATGTTTCTCCGTCTCCGGGATGGTTGGCGGCTCATCCTTGTACATTAGATGGCGATTCCCAGGTTGAGACGCTCGCTGGTCGTGGGTAGCCGCTTTCCTGCAAAAATGGCCTTTGTCGGGTGATTCCCAACATTGGGCCCTCCGACGAGCAAGTCAGTAAAGTGTTTTTTTTTTTAATCTCTTTTTTTCCCCCTGGCTAGGTGTTGGCCAGGGGTTTATATACTATTGTGCGAGGGTCAGTTACACGTCGGTTCGGTATGGCCGCTGACCTTTGTGGGATGGGATGACCTTTCTAACGAGCTGGCGTCTTGGGGGATGCCTGAATGGCGTCAAATGGCACCTCCCCGAGCTCTTCGGGATAGTCATGTCGTATAGTGTCTTGGTACGAAATCCGACTTGCAAGTTTGCAACGTGTCTCAGTTCAAATGACAGGTTTAACACAGCTCGGAGTTATAGTTACTGAGTTTGCAAGTCGGCGAGTGAGTCGGAGCGGCTCGGTTTAGAGACTTGACGGGCAGCGAGTAGGGGGTCGACGTGGAGCAACTTGGATAATGGACTAGGCCGGTGATTCGGGCACTGGATTGACCGAGACGTGATTCGGGCATCAGATTGGCCGTGAGGTGTGGCTCGGGTGTTGGATCGAGCCTATGGGCCAAGTGACCGAGTCCGGTTCCGATTTTGGTGCCGACGAGTTGTAGGTCGGGGGTGATCTGGAGCGACCCGGACAAGAAATGAACCTAGGGGCCGAGTGACTAAGCTCGGTTCCGGTTTTGGTGCCGATGGGTCGCAAGTCGGGAGTGATCTAGAATGACCCGGGCAAGAAACGAACCTGGGGGCTGAGTGACTAAGCTCAGTTCCGGTTTCGGTGCTGACGGGTCGCAAGTGGGGAGCGATCTGGAGCGACCCGGGCAAGAAACGTACTTGGGTGCTGAGTGACTAAGCTCGGTTCCGATTTCGGTGCTGACGGGTCATAAGTCGAGAGCGATCTGGAGCGACCCGAGCAAGAAACGAACCTGGGGGCCGAGTGACTAAGCTCGGTTCTGATTTCGGTGCCAACGGGTCGCAAGTCGGGAGCGATATGGAGCGACCCGGGCAAGAAACGAACCTGGGGGCCGAGTGACCAAGCTCGGTTCCGATTTCGATGCCGAAGGGTCGCAAGTCGGGAGCAATCTAGAGCGACCCGAGCAAGAAACGAACATGGGGGCCGACTGACTAAGCTCAGTTCCGGTTTCGATGTCGACGGGTCGCAAGTCGGGAGCGATCTAGAGCGACCCGAGTAAGAAATGAACCTGGAGGTCAAGTAACTAAGCTTAGTTCTGATTTCGGTGCTGACGGGTCGCAAGTTGGGAGTGATCTGGAGTGACCCGGGCAAGAAACGAACCTGGGGGCCGAGTGACTAAGCTTGGTTCTGGTTTCGGTGCTGACGGGTCACAAGTCGGGAGTGATCTAGAGCAACCCGGGCAAGAAACGAACCTGGGGGTTGAGTGACTAAGCTCAGTTCCAGTTTCGGTGCTGACGAGTCGCAAGTCGGGAGTGATCTGGAGCGTACCTGAACATCGATTTATACCAGGACGCCATCGTGCCATGTGGCGGGGTCTCGGGTGACGGGATACCTCCGGCGGGAGCTCCGAG